TTTGACAGCAGAAAAACTGAAGCCCAGGTTGCCTAAGATTTTACAGTTAGTAAATGGAGAAGGCAGGATTAGAATCCTGATCTTAAAAAACAAAAGACAAAACAAAACAAAAGACACCTGGTCCAATGTTCTCTCCATCATACTGTGGTGTCATCCACAAATCATATAAGAATGTCTAACATTTATTGAGTTTTTGCTTTATGCCAGACTCTGGGTTAAGCATTTTACATATATTATCTGAGTCCTCACAAGAACACTAAGAATCTGATTTTATTAATATGGTAATATTAATGAGGAAACTGAGGCTTTGAGAGGTTAAGGAACTTCCCCTAAATTAAAGAGCTACTAAGTGGCTTAATTCAGGTCCAGCTAGCATAGAAACCCATTATCTTCATAATTATGCTACAGTGTCTACAAATAGTAAACCATTCTTGGAAGAGTGCTCAGCATCACTATAAATAAGCACAAACCGAATTAATTATTAGATAATTTAACTCCTCTTAAGTTAGTAATAATAATAGATTCTCAATGCTGTAGACACTGCCAAGAGTCAGGAACATTTATGCATTGCTGATAGCTATATAATTACTTAGTGTAAATCTTTGTGGAGAGCAATTTGGCATTATGGATCAAGAGTTATGAAAGTGCCAGCATGCCCTCTATCTTAGCAATCCCACTTCTGGGATGTAGCCTAAGGAAATGCTTATGAATAAATTAAAAGATATTTGTACAATACCATTGATATTTCTATAGTGGAAAACTGGAAGTTGTCCAAACCCCCTAAAGGGGAAATATTTAAATCCTACAATCATAGAATGCTGATTCTAGAATCTTTGAGGTCATTTTATTCAAACACCATTTCTTTGCTACCCCAACTTATTTTTCAGATGAAGCAACTGAACTGAAGTAAAACTCTGATATCAACTGGATGACTATTCTGTAGGCATTGAACATGATAAAGGCCATGAAATATAGGAAAAATACAGCTAAAATATGGTAGTCACAGTCTCCTACGAAAATATGATGAGAAGGATAAGAAAAAAAAACAATGAAAAGTTCAAAATTTAGGCCCACTCCGTGACAGCATTGTGATATCTCTAAATTATTGAAGTTTGCACCATGCTGCCTGATTTAGAGATCTTTTATCTAGAGATGGAGGGAGAGAAAGGAGGTAGCCCTGTTCTTAACAATGCAAAGATAATCCAAAGAAAATAGACTAAGTAATACTGCAGTGGGAGTCAGGTAATCTTAGCTTCAATTCTGACTCTGCCATTAAAAGCATGTCTCTGTCCGGACTTTGGGACCCTGCCTTCTCATTTGTATTGGAGTAGATGCCTTTGATCCTTCCTCACATCTAACACTTTGTCATTCTACAATATGGTTCCTGGAAGCTTAAGATTTTAATGCAAATTTAAGTTGGTTAGAACATCATGCTCATGAGGTCAAGCCAGTAAGTTTTGATTCTATATGCCTCCTTGTTCTATTATCACATAATAAACTACTCTTCACTATAAACAAAAATACTGTGACTTGATATCTTTCCAGCCCTTTTGCAGTACCTTACTTAATCCTAACAATCCTCTTAGGTGTAATTATTCCTGTTTCACCAAGGCTAAAAATGTTAAACTATTTCCCCAAGATTATCTAGATGGAAATGGCAGGCAAGAAGCATAAAGCCAAGTCTACAATAAATATAAATCCAATGTTTCTTTCTCTGCCTAATGGTAGCCTTCCTATAACTGGTAAAGAGGTAAGAGGCAGCCATTTTAGGGGAGTGAGAAATAATCCAATAGGAACACAAAATATGACAATATGCGAGGAAGGGTCTCTTTCATAAAGTCAAATTTAAAAAGCCATCAAGGGAAGCAGTAGGCAACCATGACCATTAGAGCCTGTGGTTGATGTTTGAAAGGGAATTAGGTAGCTTGCTTTCCCATCTGACTGCCGAATGAAGGTGGGGGTGGGGAGGGAATAATTCCAGACATACAAATTGTATTTGCTGATGCTTTTCATTGAGATATCAGAGCTCTGTAAGTCAGAATTTGAGAGCTGGTAGCTTCTTTCAAGGGTCAGGCCACTAGCACTGAATTTTAGGGACAGCTCTGTGGGGCTGACAATGGTATTCCACATGCCCTCGATTGGAGGAGCAAGGATCTCCTGTTCTAGTCTTTACTGCTGGGGATGCCAGTTTGATCCTTCCGATTTTTACCAGCACCTCACCCCAAATACCACCTCTAATTGTGTATGTATTAATACAGTAGTGTGTCTGTATTAATTCCTGCTCTCAAGTCTCCCCAACTATCCAAAGGAAGACGGAAATACTGTTTCTGGGTGTCATCTCTCATGCCTCTCCTAAAGCAATTTTGCAATATATATCAAGAGCTATAAGGACTTCAAACCTTTCACCCAATAATCAACTTATAGAAATATATCCAAAAGAAATGATCAGATTCAGGTAAAGATTTATGTATAAAGATGCTCATGAAGTCACTATTCATAATAGCAAAACACTGAAAACAGACTAAATATCAATGCAAAATGATGAAATTATGGCATATTCAAATATTGTTCTGCTATTAGTTTTAAAGATTATGCATTTGATAGGGGAAAATATAAAAATATAAAAACAGCATTCCATAAACAATATAACTGAAACTTAAAAAATGTACTACACACATATAAAAATATTTAATACAATTTAAAGATATTAAAATGGTAGCATATGGTGGGATTATGGAAGGTTTTAATTTTCTTTTTCATATTTCTTTTTCTTATTTTTTCTAATGCAAGAAAGTGTTTGTTTTTTTTTTTTGGAGGGGGGAGGTAATTAGGTTATTTATTTATTAATTTAATAGAAGTACTGGGGATTGAACCCAGGACGTCATGAATGCTAAGCATGCACTTTACCACTGAGCTATACACTCCACCCAAAACAAGTGTTTTTATAAAAAGAGAAATTATCTTAGTAGCCATACTTTTCATCCATCAGACCCTAATACAGGTCCTTGTTAAAGCAAAAACTGACTTAGTTCTGGTTGCTTTATCTAAACATACTGAGTCTAACTTATTGAAACGTCTTTCTAAATTTTCTTTTTAAATTAGTATCATTTCGGTTCAATATAATGTTTGGAAGAAAATCAGTAGTCCTATCAAAATAAGAAAACAGGACATGGTGATATCACCTTGGGCAATATTACTCTTGAGAGATAAATCGACAGGTGCTACTTTGGGTAGATGACTAAATCTTTGTTGAAAGTTGTGAAGTACAGATCAGTTCTAAAATAATGTTGGTCCTCCCTGCTTGTGGCTGTGTTTCACTAGGTGGGGTCTTTGATGCCACTATTGTATTTGGAAGTCTGACAACTTTTATTAACACCATCAACCCATCATCATACGCAGATCTTCCTTCAAAGGCAAAATAATTTGAAATACACTAGTGTTATAAAATCTCTCATGGACACTCAGAATGCCAGAATTTAAATGAGGCTTTAGACATCGTTTAGTTTAAGGAATCATGAAATCCAGTGCCCATTATCACCAGGTAACATCAATGAATTAGTTAGGTCATTTGTAAGAAAACACTTCTCTTCCACAAAAAAGGCACTCTCTCCATCCCCCCACCCAATCAAATTAAAAAAAATATTTATGTAGCTATCATGGTCTGTATTTTTTTTCCTTCATTTTGAAAAAGATATGAGTTCAAGAAGTATTTTGCTTTCTTTTTAATTATATCATAAGAAAACCAACATAACCTGAGCTTCAAGGAGACAAGAGGAAATAGTAATGACCATGGAAAAACAGAAACTAAATGCTCCATCTAAAAGGGGCAGGTTGCTACTCAGCTCTTGCTAATTGCTCACATGTGGAATTTCTCTAGAGAAGCCAGAAATCTGTGAAGTCTCTTAATTTTAAGTGCTGGCAATTAATTCAAGATGTGTCAAAAAAATTCTGTGGGTCAAAAAGACATGTGTCTGAGGACTTGCTATAGCTTAGTTTGCAACCTTGACCTAACCCAACTTCTTACCTTGGGGATGATGGATAAAATCAGGCTGAGTGTCCTTTTGCTAGAGGTCATTCAGGTGACTGAACAGGGTTTACAACTCAGATTTGTGGTAATTACAATGGGAAAATTCTCTATCCCCCAGAGAATTTCCTACATTTAGGTAAGTGAAGTATGCTATTAAATAAAGTGTTAAATATTATTTAATGGAAGATTCAAAGGCATGTCGCTTCTGTCCACAACAATATAAAATGCAATGCAAAACTATTTCCTACATAGCACATCCTATTCCACATCCAAGAAGTTATCAATGAAGTTTAGATTTTTCTCCATTCATAAATTAAAAAAATGAATTTTAAAACAAAACATGAAACTTCTCTTAAGACATTTCTTAAGTGTGTCATCTCTGCTTTAACATTTTGAAATTTAAAGTCTTTTTGAAATACTCAGTACAATTACCAAAGATACTGGGAAACATTAAACTGTTTGTCTTGTTATGTTATATTTTGCTAAATTTGCAAAAGTTTGGGATAAGTTTTAAAAATCTAATATTATTGCATGATAATCACCTTGGGTAATAACTCAAGTAAAATATATTAACACTTGACTGTCTTATATAATTTGCTAACAAGAAGTCATAATTTTTGCCAAATAGCTTCACATTTCAACATTTCTTGAACTAAAACATTATGTTTAGTAAGGTGGAATTCCACTTGTACTTCACTTTTAATTTTATAGTTCACAAGTGGGCATGCAGGGTGAAAGCAAAGTTATTTAGAAACAAATTCTTAGCCAAATGCCAATCACTGGGCACAATCAAGGCCCCCCAAAGCCCATATATAGCATGAAATTACTTACAGGGTTAGACATAACACTAGCAAATGTGTGAAGGGGCAATATGCAAAATAGAAAACTTAAAAGGAATTCTTAATTACCTTATAATGATGAGAGCAGGAAAGGGAAGGAAGAAAGGAAGACGTACCAAAGAACACACAATTCGTTAACATAGATTTGCACTTTATTGTAATTTTGCATCCTGAGATAATAAAATTTAATATCTGACAAGTGAACAACGACAGAAGCAGCAGTGAAAGTTTCAGAGAGGCAGGTATCCTTCATTTTGGCACAGCTGTATATAGGTTGAGTTCTTCCAGGGGAGTCACTCCCGAACTCAAGGGAGAAAAATGAATGAATTCATTCCACAGGCTATATAACAATACAAGATACATGAAAGTTCTCAGCTTAAATGGACATATCCACTTTTATCCTTTCCTGGTAAAACTGTCCCAAAAGGAATCCTCTGCCAACAAGTAGAAATCCTAGGCTTTTCAAACAGATGTTTTGATCAATGCCCACTTTCTAGCTACCAGGATTTCCAGTTTTTGCAGCCGAGATTCATATTTGTATGTGGTTAGTCCAAGAATGGCAAACTAGCCTTTAGATTATATAATTTCAAACATTTGTAGCTTGTTTCAAAGTCCAGGCATAAAACAATTTTACCCTATTTGCTTACCAGAAAAATTAAACATTAAGCAAATATGGATGCAAACAAAATAAGCAGGAATAAAAGGAACATTTGAGAAATTATTGCCTTGACTCATCACGTTAACTTTATACACAGAACTACTTTGAGACTCAGAAGTTGATATTTACTCCAATGCTAGAACACGGCAGTATAACACTTTCCACATTTGTAATGTGTGTGTATGATTTACAAATACACACCCAGACAAATTAGCTCACTTACATCATCCTGAAACAGAAAAAAAACAAACAACTGAAGGCAAATTCTAACCTGAAGTTATACAGCCCAATCTAATCAACACACACACACACACACACACACAATCTAGCATTTCATTATTTAGGGACTAGGTAAGCAACCTGTGGAGAACAAGTAATCTTAGTTCCTTTATAAAAGTGGCTCCCAACATTTTTACCATAAGGATTCTTTTATTATTTCTTCCCCATATTTTCAAGTATTTTATTTATTAAATTGAATGTAACAGGCTTTCTCATTTTAAAAAAAAATTAATCAAAATCATAACTGCCGTTCAGTTTCTGATCAGTGTGTCATCGCCAGTGTTAAACAAAATCGAAAAAAAAAATAAGCAAAATGTGTGACTATGTCTTAGTTGGCTTGTGCAATAGGAATATTATGGATCAATGTATGATTTCTAGTGTACTTTTTGAAATACTGAAAAAGGTTCAAGGATGCCCCCACCGCTATTGGCATCTGCCCCAAGTTGAAAACCATTGGTTTATATCCACCCGCTTTTCCTCCCTAAATGAAGTATTAACATAACACAATTACCCATGTTAACACATACAGGATTAATAACAAAATTTACTATCCCCAAAATAGATTAACTGCAATACTCATTCTGTAGGGTTTGACTGAGAAAGAAAACATAACATAGACTTAAAGGACTCTATTTAGAAATTACAAAATTATGATATACAATATATCTTTCAGTCAACTTCAAAAAGCACATTAATATATGAATAAAATCCTCAATTCCCCTGTGAGGTAGGTCCAGATTATTGTCCCCACTTCCACAATGAGGACATGAGGTACAGAGGAATTAAGCAGCAGAGCTAAGAATTAAACCAGAAATGACTTGGGTTTGAATTCTATACTACTTTTCTTTCCATCTAATATTATCAATTTGTTCCAACAGAACTTTTTGAGGATTTGGAACTAAATAAGACACTGAAGCAGATATTGGATAGGATATGAAACTCTTTCACATCAACATCAAAATGAATCCTCTTGTATCTCCATTGTTGTCACAGCTATAATTTTTGCCCAGGTACCAACTACATATAGTCAGATTCCACATAGGTAAAACCCACAGATCTCAGTCCTGAGTTCCTAGGGAAACTACAATCATTCTTATCACCATGGAGGGGCTGAGGTCTAGCAGGCATCAGGCTTTTTGAGTCTGTGTGATACGAACAAACATTAGCCAGGAGCCAGTTAGCAAATCAAACTTTTACTGTGTGCAAGGCACTGTGAGAGTTTCCACCAAAGGTAGTAGATTTGAGAAAAATCGTTCTGAGATTCTGTAGAGTAAAAATGTCCTAAGGATTTCTAGAATCACAGAATGTTATGTGACTTCTAATTTTCCATTCAGCTCTAGGTTCAACCCCATGATTTTACAGATGAAGAGACTGACATGCAATGTAATGTAATGTAATGACTTTCCTGGAGCACATTAGATTATTTTCTCATATAGTATGACTCTGACAAAGTCCACAGAAAATGGAACATATTCTCAGGCTGCCATCATAAAAATGAAAAGGCTGGCTCAGAATCAGGAAAGAGAAAGTAGGGGAAAGATAAGGAGATATAAACATGTATATCCTTATCTTATATATATCTCCTTATATTCAGTCCACATACTACATGAACAGATATTATTAATAAAATCTATTCATTTTCTGTGGAAAATTTCCAAATGGTTCACCATTTAAAGAAACCAGAACAATTTCACAATTGTCGCATAATGGATTTTTTAAAGCAGAATTTTATAGGCATAGGAGGACCTAATTTCAATGAATTTGAGCATCTTATTATCAAATTAGCAAAAAGTACTTCCACTATGTGAAACTGCTCCAATTAAATGGGTGTACATAATTTCTATATGCTCTCAGGTCAATTTAGTCAATTCTAATGAAATACTGTTTGGAGGCTTTAGGTTCAAGGAGTGAGTTTTGATTTAAGAGGTGATTTATTTGTAAACAAGATTAAAATGCTAATGATTTTTAAAGCTCCCTTACATTTGAAAAAAACCCTATGTTTGAAGGCTAACAAATGTTAAGGAACTTCACTCAAATTATGAAAAAATAAGAATAAATTTCATTAAAAATGGCAGAGTGCTAAATATTAATACAGTCTGATTAACTGATCAGACATTAGTGTTTATAGGTCATAATAGTATGAATAGTCTGTGCGTTAAATACTTAAGCAGGTTTTGGTAGAGCTTCAAAGACCACTGTTCATCCAGAAACATGCTGAGTTATATGTTTACTAGTATTAAAATTATACTAGTTTTGTAAGTGACTCATAGTCTTGTTCTGTAATATTTTGTCACTGATACATCACATGATTGGAGGAAACCAAGGAAACAGATTTAAATAATAAATAGAAGAAATACAATATGCTAGTGAAATATTCTTATACTTAACTGAAAAGGATGGTTTTATTTATTATTATTTTTTTAATGGAGGTACTGGGGATTGAACCCAGTACCTTGTGCATGTTAAACATGCGCTCTACCACTGAGATACACCCTCCCCTGAAAAGGATAGTTTTAAATCTAATGATTTACCAATTCATTCATTCTGCTTCCTTCAACATAAAATGTTATCTTTATTCAAAGAAGACAAGGCACTTCTCCATCTACTTCTAACATTTGACTACAAGGGTCTCTTTCTTACATTAACATAAGGAGTAGAAGGGAACAAAGTAGCTGAAAAAGGTTAGAGCTTCTTTCACTTTATACACAACTTATGGGGGTGGAGATGCATAAAGGAAAGTTAGAACAGGAACAGTTGTAACTTTTAACCTCAAAACTTTGTAAGATTTATATACTTTGGCAGGTACATGTTATTTTCTCTGGAAACAACCACAGCAGGTTTCATAAAGAAATATTATGCAACAAAGAAATTCAAAATTAGTTTCTTCAATCTAAAAACAACTGTCACAAAAGTATTTTATTAACTTGATGGAAATGTCCAAGTATGTTCTATCCTGAGGATATAAGAGAAAAAGGTCAAGGGGGAGGAATTAATGCCCACAGTGTACTCTGTCATTTCAGCATTCACTGCTGCCAATACCACTGAAAAGGAAACAACTCCCCCCAAAACACTCCAAAACCCAACTGGTAATCAGTCCCCTCCAAAGGAAAATAGTTTGAAAAAGCAGTCATAGAAGACAGAAAAAAAGAAAATAGGGTATATTCTGAGTGGTTCAAGAAAATGAGTCAACCAGCATAATGAACAATACAATAAATGTAAGAGCTATTAGAGCAGATTTTAAAATTAAGTTTACACATGCTAGTAAATGGTTTTTATGATAAATACTACTGTAACTTGAATTATATACTCTGTCACCTCCATATGCACTCTATTCCCGTCTCAATATTTGTTTTATGGAAACAGTTCACTTCCTGCTGTTTTTTGAGCAAAACCAGTGTGATTTATACATGGCAGAAAAAGTTACTATGACCATCACATGGCCAAATTCTAAATTTACAGGAAAAAAATGAAATTTTAAGGGTTGACACTTAGAAGTAATTATTCTATCAGTGATAATTAGAAATTTTGTATTATGCTGGAAATTAATTTTGGTATTAAACTGTCACAGTTTGAAGCATAAACCTGATGATACTAGCTCGAACATAAACCATGGATATAATTTTTCCCTGACCTTAGCTATAAAACAAGACATTTGGTATGCATTTTCAGAGGTTTCCACTTTGTCTATAAAAATACACCTTCGATTTTGCAGCAGACAGACAAATGATATTTGCAGGCACACACAGTATATTAAAAGTTAGAGATTCTGGGTGGCATGAGGGTAATGGGCTTCTACAGAGGGAAGTGGAAAAGTGTGCGTGCAAACAATTATAGTCACATATCAAATACTGTCTCTTTTTTCCCCCCTCTTCTTTTACTGGTCCAGGGCTAGGGATACATTTTAAAAGTGGCTTTAAAAGGCTTGGCCTCGTATGAAGAAATGATTGTTCTCGTCATTGGGATGAATATTTGCCTAAAAACGTTTACTAAAGGCAATAAGATGATAAAGTATTATTCAGTCCCAGATACTTTTATTTTTAGCACTAGGAATTACAAATAATGCCTATGTAAAGGCAAAATTTGCAGCTGAATTAATGCAATGTAAAGCTTTCATTATGTTAAAAATTCAAATTCTAGAAGAATTAGTGTGGTGCTCTCACTCATAATAATGTGAAGAGAAAGAGAAATATGCACATACCAATGAAAAGGCTACATGTGTGGCTAATTTATAAACTAAAATACTTCCATCTAAACACTTGTCTTTCCTCGTTAATAACATCCAAATGTTCAAAAAGGATCCTCAAAAAGAGGATTAAGAATATTTTATCAATTATGAATCAGCCACTAAATAGTCTTTAGGTACAGCTTTTCAATGAGCTCTCCCTCTTTCTCAAAGTATAATATCTTAACACCAACAATGGGTTACAAGTGGCTTTTATGGGGGTCTAGACAGTTCCTAAGACATCTGAAATCTTGAAACACTCCTTACAGGTCATAATTCTGTATATTTCCAAATGAGGGAAAGGATGCATAAAGGAAAAGAAACGAAGAGAGTGAGGCTGTGAAATGCATCAGAAGAGTCAAATGAATTCTTTCGGGGGTGGGAAGGGAGGACAAAATGGGATTTATTGAATTAAGTGGAAAAAAATAAGGTTCTTGGTTTCAGGTGCAATGCAGACTATCTCAGACAGTGATTTCAGTTTTAATCCTACTCATTGCAAAGGGCAGCCCTGCCCACACCTGAAATTTTTAACATACTTATTATGGCTGTGCCATAAAACAGTATGTTAACAGTCTATACATTCAAAAGGATGCTTGCAAACTTCATTCGTATTAAAATCTATGCAGAATTGTTGGCAAAACAGTAAGAGTAACATTACATTCTGTAAACCACAGCATATCACGTTTTACATATGCGAAGAGACAATATTTACAAGTCTTTAGGAGTTTAAATATTTTATCCACTGACATAAGTGATAATTTAGCAAAGTGCAGGACAAAACCAGTGCTACTAATTGCATGTCCTTTAAAAGCAGGTAAGAGTAAAATCATTTCTAAAAGCTACCAAAAGCTTATTTACGTATGTCTAGTACAGGATTACAGAGCATTAAGTAGCCTAGAAAAATGATGCATATTTAGAAACAGTGAGTATGAAAATTATAAGGCAGCATGCTCAGAACATGTTTTTGTTTTTTAAACACCAGCACTGATGTTTTATTTTTAGTGGCAACTATATATATATACATATACATATACGTATGTGTGTGTATTTATTTAAAAATTGACAGTGCAAAACACAAGCCTCATTTAACAACAACAAAAAAAAGATGTGCAAAATTTCTTCTTAAACCAACACAAACAAAAGTGTGAGGAGAATATTCTACCATTATAAAGAATAAGTTGAACACAGCAAAGGAGACCATCTTCATTCCAAAATCATCTACAAGGCACTAAGGGTAGGAAATGACAGGTAATACAGAAGTGACTGAATAAAATTCCTCAGTCAGGTCGGAATATGGGATATTTTGGTAAAAATTCTATTAGTATTACCTGTAAAATAAAACCAAACAAGAATATATTGACAAAATAATTTTCATTTACTATAACTTATATATAACCCAGAAAATCTATAATCATTTTTCACATGACTATATTTTGGTCCTGTACTATAAAGCAAGTGAAATATATAAAACAGTTATAATAAGAACTTACCACAAGTTATCATTAGATTGGCAAATAAACTGGAAAACATAATACCTACTGTAGGTAATAGTTTTTATTACCTGATTTACAATAATTATTTGTTTAGGTGCAGAAAAACAAACCCCATTATATTTTAATGTTACTTCTCACCTTCCCTCCACCCCACATTTTTTTTAGCAAAGTGGAAGGGATTAAAACTGGACTATACAGATTAGAAAAAAATACTTATATATATATATAAAAAACATCTATGCATTTTTCAATTAAAGCAGCTGATATTGGTTGAGTATTACCATCTTTTAGAAGTTTTTTGTAAAAAATAATAAAGTACCCAAATGGATTGATTAAAATTAAAATATTGTAATTAAAAAAGGTTTAGAAGTATAATAATAAAAACCTAAGGTTTTTATGAATTAATATAAATTTATAATGTTTATATAAGGTTTTAATCTTTAAAGGATTTTAGACTTGTGATCATTTGCACATTTTTTCCCAAAACTATTCAAAGTAGAGAAAGACACCATCATAATCCTTATTTATGAAATGGAAATGGAATGTTTACTATTAAATATATACTACATGTCAGCAACTTAAAGCTTGGATAAATTTCATATTTTTTTGATTAATGATGCTGAATTTGTCACATTGGCTATATGTGAATTTATGATTAAGATTGCATAGCTTTCAGTAAAAAAAAAATTAGACTATAGTTTCCTCACTGAAAGTTAAATATCAGCTAAAAAAGAAAAAGCCAGGAATATGAATACACAATTCAGAAGTCAATTCCTATTTTATGTAAAATTTTGACAAGATTACATTTAGAAATACTTTATTCAACAGCAGCTGTGCCCATCACCATATGCGATGGTTTGCACGGGTGTTGAAAGAAGATTAAGGTTGTACAATGTTTTCATCTGAGCATGCTAGCTAAGATTTTTCTAAGATCTAAATAACTGTTAGCTTGCAAGCTATTTTATGTTGGCTACAAATTTAAAGAAAGTGGAAGGAAACCCCCTATGTTCCAAATGATAAAAGTTCAGGCTGAGGATAAAGCACATAGAAAAAAGATTTGACAAGTGATAAATACAGTAAAATGTAATACTTAGGATGGAATCCAAAAAAAAATAATTAAAAACAACTGCATACTTACATACTCCATCATATTGCTAGTTTCACATTTCCTTTTAGTCAACTTCCAGTGCAAAGCAAGCTACAAAAATACAGCTTGTTGAGAATTTTGATATCAATTTATACTAATTATTACCTACACATTTCAATAAATCACTGAACAACATCCTGAGAATAAGATATAAAACATAGCATTTAAAAATACTTTTTAAAGAGTATACATTAAAAATTGAGTATTAGTTCTCTAATCCATGCTTCTGTAGCCTGAAAAATTCCCATTTTTTTTCAATTTAATAATGTAAATATATAAATGGGACACTTATTTGCTTAAACTTTCTTACCTTGTGATATAATCTGTTATTTTCCCATTCTAATAACTTCTGAATTGATCTTCTGGTCTAAAAGAAAGAATCAATACTTTGTTATAAGATGACTGGAAGAGTTTTGTAAACTATGAGCATCTGTATTTGTCTGCTTACCTGTAAGATTCCATTATTTTCTCCTCTTGCTCTTCTTTTCAAAATGAAATATGTACAAATCACTCTGTGTTGTGAGTCCACTCACTGGACTATTATGAAAACATTGCCAGTATTGCTAGTAGTCCATTTATGAACCTAACCTAGATTTTCATATACCTTTTCACAGGGTTACTTTTTCAATACACATGTAAAATGCCAAGCTAATCTAGTTACTCATAAAAAGTTTTCCTATCAGAGCTCTTAGCACAATGCCTGAAAAATAGTCAAGGTCTACAGGTTGAATAAAGCAAGCCACCATACAACAGACTTTCCACTGAAAGAACATATTAAAAGCAGCCAGTCAGAAAACTTGTATTTAAAGGAAAAAAATATAAACAAGAGAAGGAACACTGTAATAAACAGCATAATAGAGACTGAGTTTCTCCATTTGGAGTGCATGTATTTTGCAAGGAGTAAGAAAAGTTTGCAAAATCTTCAAGAATATTAAAATTAAAGATTGTTAGGTATTTTTGACTCTTAATGGAAGAGATTTATAAGGTTTCTTATAAAAAAGACTAGTAGGCATTGTTAAGTTTTAAAGCTACTCCTTACAATTAAATGATTTACAACCAGACTGTATCAGAAATGATTTCCAAAGTACCAACATAAGAAACTACTAAACCTGTTCAACTGTGTAAGTTAACAATCAATGGCAATTATATTCAGCTCATTTACAGTGGCCCTGATCAGCAATCATGCCGGCTATGAAAAAGATTGTATCATGACCAAGTGGAATTTATCCCAGGAACACAAAAGCAAAATAATATAATACATTATATTAATAGACCAAAGGACAACAACCATATGATCATCTTTATAGATTTAGAAAATACAATACTCATTCATGATAAAAATCCTAAAAAAACTATAAATAAGAGAGAACTTCCTCAACCTGATAAAGGGTATCTATAAAAAACCTACAGCTAACATCACACTAAATGGAGAGAAACTAAACGTTTTCATCCTAAGATTAGGAACAAGACAAGGATGTCTCCTCCCATTACTTTTATTCAACATTGTACTGGATGTTATAGCCAGGGCAATTAGACAAAAATAATAAATAAAAGGCATCTAGATTGGAAAAGAAAAAGTGAAACTATCTTCATCTGCAGACAACATGATCTTGTTTAGAGAAAACCCTAAGGAATCCATTAAAACACTACTAGAACTAATAAATAAATTCAGCAAGTTTGCAAGAAACAAGATTGCAGTAGGTAGAATTCTGGTCCCTATGATCGTCATTTCCTGGAGTTACACCTGTGACTATGTTATATTATACTGCAAATGTACTTTGCATTATTTTGCAGATGTAATTAAAGTTACTAATTATTTGGTTTTTAAATAGGGAGATTATTCTAGATTATTTTGGCATAAATGATATAATCCCATGAGCTCTTAAAAGCAGGGAATTTTTTTCTGGCTGACGGGAGGATAGTCAGAAGGGTTTGAAACACAAGAAGGACTCAAATCACCATTGCTGGCTTTAAGATGGAAAGGTCTACATAGAAAATATAAGGAGGAAATGATTTCTGCTGAAAGCTGAATGAGTTTGGGAGTAAATTCTTTCTGACAATATCCAGAAAGGAATGCAGCTCTGCCAGCACCTTGATTTTGGCCTTGTGAGATCTTAATTAGAGAATCCAATGGAGCCACACCATGCCCAGACTTCTAACTGAAATAACAGAAGGGTGTTAAGTCATTAAGTTTGTGAACATTTGTCACACTAGATACAAAAGTAAATACAAGGATCAATATATAAAAATCAATTGTATTTCTATACACTAGCAGTAAACAATCTGAAAATAAGAGTAAAAGACCAATTCCATTCACAATAGGTTTAAGAATAAAATATTTAGGAATAAATTTAATAAAAGTATAAGATGTATAAATCGGAAACAAAAAATTGCTAAAATAAAGAAAGACAGTAAATAAATGGAAAATATCCCATATTCATGAGTTGGAAAACTCATGTAATAGCATTTACACCAAACGGTGCTGGGAAAGTTGGATATCCTACAGAAAAATGATGAATTCAGACTCCTATCTCACGCACAAAAATTAAACCAAAATGGACCAAAGACCTAATCATAAGAAGTGAAACTGTAACATAACTAGAAGAAAACACTGGAGTGTACATCTTTGTGATCTTGAGTTAAGCAAAGCCCTCTTAAATATTATTCAAAAGGCATAAGCAAGAAAATTTTAAGTCATAAATTTGACATAATCAAATTAAAAGCTTTTGTGTGTCAAAGATACCATCAAGATAGAAAGAGTCCATCTAGAATGGCTATGTGAGGACCTCAGGGAAATCTCTTCCCTGGAGAGACAACTATTAAGCTGATCAATATTAGCAAGTACAATCATTCAAATGTTCTATATCAAAGGGTTTAATACAGATTGAGAAGTATTTATTCAACAAAATCTATGGAAAATAGGTGAAAACAGTAGGAAGCTTTGATACTAGAGCGAGACACTACACCCATATCCACAGCTCTGCCCTGTGGAAGACAAAAAGACAGTGTGAAAAGATAGAGGAAGCATCAGAACCATACTCGGAAATGGCAAAGATGTTGAAATGATCAGACTGGGAATTAACAAGACAAAGATAAATATACTACATGCTCTAATGAAAAAAGTGGATAACATGAAAGAACAGATGGATAATGTCAGCAGAGTGATGGAACTGTAAGAAAAAACAAAAGGAAATGGTAGAAAGCCAGAAGATCATAACAGAACTGAGAATGCCTTTGGTGGGCTCATCAACGACTGGGCATGGCTGAGGAAATCAATGAAGCTTGAAGATGTAGCAGCAGAAATTTCCAAAACTAAAATAAGAAGAAAAATAAAAAAGAACACAATACCCAAGAACTATGGGCCAATTACAAAAGGGGCAACAGATCCATAATAGAAATATTAGAAAGTAAAGACAGAAAGGAGCAGAGAAATTATTTAAATCAATAATGACAATAGAATTTCTCCAAATTACTGAAAGTTATCAAACCATAGACTGAAAAAGTTCAGAGAATACAAAGCTGGGTAAATATCCCTAAATCTGCACCTGGTAATCTCATATTTAAACTGTAGAAAATCAAGGAAAAATCTTGAAAGAAGCGAAGGGCAAAAGTACTTTACATATAAAGGAGTAAGGATAAGAGTTACATCAGACATCTCTTTAAAGACTACGCAGCCAAGAAAAGAGTGGAATGAAATATTTAAATTGTTAAAACAAAAATACTACTAATCTGGAATTCCATACCAGCAAAATTGTCCCTCAAAGATAAAAGAGAAATAAAGACTTTCTCATACAAAAAAATTAAGGGAATTTGTCACCAGTAGACCTGCATTACAGGAAATGTTAAATTCTAATTTAGAGAGAAGGAAAATGCTACAGGTAAGAAACTTAGATCTAAATAAAGGAAGAGTGTTAGAGAAATAATAAATGAAGGTAAAATAAAATCTTTTATTTCTCCCATTCTCAATTGGTCTAACAGGCAATAGTTTGTTCAAAATAATAATTATGTATTCAATGATTATAGCTTTTAGATAAGTAAAATGAATGACAGCAATATTGTAAGGAATGAGAGGGAAGAATTGGGAATATTCTGTAATAAGCTAGTTGTTCCACCTGGGAAATGGTACTATATTATCTGAAAGTGGACCTGGATTGGTGGCATATGTGTATGTATATATTACAAACTCATTTTAGTGAGCAACCACTAAAAAAATTAAAATGTAGGATTACTGATATACTAAGGGAGGATAGAACATGGTATCATACAAAAATACTTAATTAAAACCAGAGAAGGCAGAAAAAGACTGGAAGACAGAGATAGGAACAAAGAACAAGAGCAATGAATAGAAAACAGTAACAAATATGGTAAATATTAATCCAATTATATCAATAATCACTTCAAATATCAATGGGATCAACACATCAATTAAAGATAGATTGTCAGAGTAGATAAAAAAATAAGACTCAACTATGTGCTATGTACAAGAAACCCACTTTAAATATAAAGATATAAACTAGAGACTAAAAGTAAAAGGATGTAGAAAGATATACCACAGTAAAACTAATTAAAGGGAAGCTGGAGTCACTTTAGTAATTTTAGACTAGGCAGACTTTAGAGTAAGGAAAATTATCAGTCCTAAAGAGAAGTATTACATAATGATAAAGGGTCAATTTTCCAAGACATAACAATTTTTAATGTGTATATGCCTAATAAAAAGAGCATCAAACTATGTGAGGCAAAAACTAATAGAACTGCAAGGAGAAATAGAGGAGTCCACTATTACAGTTGGAGACTTCAACAGCCCTCCATCAGAAATGGACAGATCAAGCAGGCAGAAAGTCAATAAGGACATAGCTGAACTCAATAGCAGCAGTGATCAACTGGATATAATTGACCTCTACAGACTACTTTATCTAACAATAGCAAGTGACACATGATTCTCTAGCTGATAGGGGACATACACCAATGCAGACCACATTCTGGGTCATAAAACACATCTTAACAAATTTCAAAGAACAGAAACCATACAATGTATGCTCTCAGACCACAATGGAATTAAACTAGAAATCAACAACAGAAAGATAGCTGGAAAATTCCAAAACACTTGGAGACTAAACAGCACACTCCTAAAAAACACATGGGTCAGGAAGAAATCTCAAGAGAAATCTTTGAATATTTTGAATTAAATGAAAATGATGAAAATGAAAACAAAACTTAAAATTTGTGGGATGCAGTGAAAGCAATGCTTAGAGGGAAATCTGTAGCACTGAATGTAGTAGAAAAGAAGAAATAATCATATAAGCTTACACCTTAGGGGGTAAAAAGAGCTAATCAAATCAAGATAAGAAGAAAAAAATTATAAAAATT